AAAATATGTTTTTTGATCTCAACTATTTTTTAATTATTTTTATTGATTCTTTTTAGTTATATATGACAGAATCCATTTTGATGTAATTATACAAGCATGGAGCATATCTTGTTCTAATTCAGATCCCAGTACCTCTCCTTTCCCTTCCCTCTCCCCACCCCTGCTACCTTTCCTCTTATTGATTACTGTCATTTACCCACATTTATTTTAAATTATTATTATTATTATTTTTTGTGGTGCTGCGGATTGAATCCAAGGTCTTATGCATGTGAGGAAAGCACTCTGCCAACTAATCTATGTCCCCATCTCATGGTTATGTTTTTTTAAAATGAGTTTTTAAAGCTAGCCTTCTTGAAGTCATCCTAACATGAAGTAAGGTGAGAGGCAGAGCCTTTTCTCAGGTGAGGCAGGGGTCTTGACTAATCTTAGGTAAAGTGTTTTATTTCTGAAATTGATCTTGCCTCTTCCTTAAATATAATTTTACAGAGTTCTCATGTGTTGTTTCCTGAGTCTATATGAGCATCAGTCAATGCACTATAATATGACATCTAAAATATGGATCAAAGCAGAAGCTAAGAGAGCTTTTGACTTTCTTTTTGAGGGAAAAGTGGTAAACTGCGTCCACATTGTCAGCCTTTAAACAAGTTTAGACTCTCCTGATTGTCTTCCAAAAGTACATTTAAATTTCTATCTTATTCTAAAAGGTAACAGAAAATTCTGTATATAACTTATTGATAATGGGTTACCCATATCCAGTTCCAGAATACTTAATGACATAAATCTGAAGGAGATTATTGCTACAGACAATTTTAGTTTGGAGGACATAAGCTTGGTAAAGTGCTTCTCTGAGCTAGACTTAAATCTCTTTTACATTTAGAAAAAATACTGTTAATGATTAGAAATAGACTTCACCAAAGCAAACAGATATAAGTCAGGTTTTCAAATGGGAGTGTGACCCTTTTATATCAAATATAATGTATAAAAGAGAACAGTTGTTTATTTAACCAGTTACGAAGTAATCATTTAAAAGACTTTAAAACAGGTACAAATTCTAATTCCTTTCAGACTTGCTTTCCTTTAGTAATAAAACCTAACAGACACAAATTCTCTTGATGAAAAAGAACAACTCAATGTTTTAAACTTTGTTTCATATCTGTGCCTTTAAATTGACCTTAGAAAAGCCTTTAAATAATTTTTTCTGACTGGACTACTCATAGTCAACTTAATCACGTGCATAAACTTTTTGAGAGTTACCTTCCACAAACCTTTTGCAACTTAGACATTCTACAGCTTGTTTACATCCTTAGCTTTGTCCTTGCTTTCACATAGACTTCAGCACAAAAATACTACTTTATCATACAAAATACTTCTTGTTCAAAAACATACATTTCCATACCTGTAACTTTTTATATCCCTTCTTCCAGTTGTTGCCTCTTTCTTAAATTTACATTCTGAAATTAGACAAATTTATGAGATTTCTGAATTCAGGCAAATTAGTCCTTTTTTTTAATAAGATTAAATACTTTATTTACAACACTTTAATGAAAACATAGCTGAAACTTTTTGTATTCCCAACATATAGAATTACACCTATTAGAATCTTAACTCTTAGCAACCTTGCTAGGCCCAGAAAAGCAACTTTAAGACTGTTTTTCCATTTCCCAACTTATAAAGATATTTAACAGACCCAAATATATGTCAACTTCTGGAATTCAAGAAGTCACCAGCACTTAAATTTAAACTTAGCAGTCGATGTTTTTAACTTTGCAAATTAATCAGACGTCTCCTCTAACAAACACATTCATAAATGTTGTCCCACTTAGATTGAATCTAATTTACCCATTTTTAACCATAAAAAACAAGGTATCAGACAAGTCCAGTTAACACTTTAAATCAATTATTCCTGCCAAATAAAAATCCTTAAAGTAATGAACATTGTACTTTAAACATTTTATAGAAACTAATGTTTTGTTGATTGCCTGGCCAACTAGAAAAAAGTCCAGGTTAGTAATTTCAAAGACCCTTCATTCTTACCAATGTAAATTGACCTTTAGAAATTAAAACAGAGCCTGTCACAGATTTCTTAGTATGACCCCCGACAGGGAAAGGGCATGTGCCATTGGGAACATGAGGAATGGACTCTGACAGCCATGGTAGACGCTGACATGAGCGGTCAAGCTGGCCACTCGTCCTCTACAGGACAGATTCACTCTCACTATCGCCACTGTATATTTTCCCTGCCTAGGACTTTTTAAGAATATTTTTTAGTTGTCAACGGACCTTTATTTTATTTATACGTGGTGCTAGAGATCAAACCCAGGGCCTCACACATGCTAGGCAAGCGCTCTACCACGGAGCCCCAGCCCCAGCCCCAGCCCCCACCCCCGTGCCTGGGACTTTTTAAGGGAGAAGATTTCTTTCCTTTTCTAGTGAACTTGAGAGTTAACTCTTGAATAAGTACCTGGCGTCCATATAAAAATAGCACAAAAGAAAGGCAGAGCTGGAATCTCTGTGAGACAGAACAAGACCGGTCAGAACAGATCAGTAAAGAATGCGGGGTCCATGAGTGCTTAAATGTTCTTAAAGAAGATGGGTACAGGTGGGATCTTTCCACTTGCCTTCCCTTTCTCTGGGCCTAGAGTTTTTATTCCCCATTCTTGCTAGGTTCCTGTAACTGAGTTTCACCTCGTGGACTCAACCTCCCAGTGCCCGTGTGCTCAGTCCCCCGTCACCGGGGATTCCTTGCGCTCTCTGGACCACACACGTGCTCAGCCCCCTCAATGGAGTTTCCTGCATGAACTGAGCTCAGTCAGTCTCCAGCCGTCCGGAACCACGAGTGGGGCTCTGCGAAGTGCCCAGGGTGTGTTTCAATCACACATATTCAACCTCCGAAAATTCCCAACCACTGGAGCAGCACTCCTAGTCCAGTTTCCTGCCTCAGCCAAGGAAACCCATGTTGCTCTCGCTGGGGGGAACGGGACATCTGGGCAGAGCAGGCCACCTAAAGTTGGGTGGGACGCATCTCCAGGACAAGCTCCCGGGTTGTAAGAGACATGCTCACCTGTCTAAGAGACACAGGATCAGCAAAGAGTGAGGCTTTAATGATGGTCTTGCAAGATTCAGTGCCCACTCGGTGCTCAGGGACCCCCAGGTTGGGTAGGACCAGTGTTTTATCCCCTCTCCCAGCTCCTCATTGGCTATACTGTCTTCCCCAAGTCACCTAGGTCTTACCCGCTCCTATTGGGTTATTTAAAGGAATGTGTCTTAGTTGTCCCACCTCCTTGTGTTCTCCTCTGGTGAAGTCCCCTGGGCTGAGTGGCTTTTGGCAATTTCACAGTTTATCTCTGTTGGTCAGGGCCAGGTGGGCCCCTTCCTTCTCACCTCCTGTTTGTCGGGGGTTGTGAATTTTGACACTCTGGTGGACTGCTTGTAACTTTCCACCCTGCTCCCCTGGCCAGCTGCCTTTCCTGCATCCCAAGTCACTTTACATTTGAAGCTGAGTACTGTTCTGAAAGTGGACCACCAGGATTGTCTGTTCCTCACACAGAGTGCACCTGTCACCGAGAGGTCTGAAGGCCCTTGGCTCTCTGCACTCTGCCCTCAGCTTTGAAATCGCCAGGTGTGTACATTACATGCGCACCCCTGCCTTCCATCATGTGCCACCAAGATTTCACTGGCTTCCCTGAGGTAGCAGCTCATTCCCCATGATCTGGAACTCTTGTGCCCTTTGCCAGGCTTCTGTGGCCCACCTTTTGATTTTATGCCCCTTCTGATGTCTCTGGTCTGCTCTGAGAGCACGGCAAGTGTTCCAGGGTGGAAGGAGCATTTGAGAGCATTAAGAAGTTCCTGGTGGCCTTATTTTGCCTGAGGAGCTTTCCGCTTGAGTGGGCTTTAAAGAGGAAGGCTGGATGCAGGACTTTGATTCACATCGTTCTCATTCCGAGAAATGCAAGAAGAGGCCAAGCATTTTCTTTCCATAACTGATAAAACCCAGAAGTATTTCCAATCTTAAGTGAAGCTGTTAGCGAAAGCTCAGTCCTTGTCCCTGATGCCAATTTAATAAGGAGGACACGGTTTTAGAAAAAGGAAAAGGAAGGTTCATATGCTAGCAAAGGAGAAGCACAAGGGACCCCTCTCCTAGAGGCTGTGGTTCTGTGCGTCAGGGAGAGCAGAGGGTGTTTTAAAGAGGATTCAAAGCCTACATTCCAGGTGTGCCCAGTGGGGTGGGTCCTAGGTGCCCTGATGATGTGGAGATTCACTCGTTAATTTGGGAGATAGTCACTTCCTGGATCTTCCTGTGGTGGGTGTGTGCTCAAGGACAGACAGCTAGGCCTAAGGTACAGAAGAAAAGATAACCCTGTCTCCCCAATCCTGTTAGGGAGGGGAGAGGGAAAAGAGGGGGGAAAAATGTCCCTTTTAAAATGAGCTTCAGAGCAAGGAGGGCTGTATTCATAAGGTGAAGTGGACCACTGGTACAAAGCTACTCTGCTTTTTGAGTTTCATTTTATTATAAATGGAGATTTCCCAATTGCCTTTCAGTTTAGTTTGATAACTAAACATCCCAACAAAGAGGAGGTTTGGCTGTATGGCTGTCAAGTTGGATTGATACCTACTTAAATTGGATTAATACTTCAGTCGCTTCGGTCATGGGCTACTTAATGAACCTGCCTAAAACTCAAGTTGCTTGTATGAAAACAAAGTTCTGAAAACTCAGTGCTGATTTCCTTCCTTGTTCAGAGGGTCCTGGGAGCCTCCAGTCAGACACCCTAGAGATGGCTTGGACCAGCCTCCTGCGGGGAGAACCTGCTGGCCACCTGCTCCTGCCCACTCTGCCTCTCACCCTGTGCCTGTCCCCCTTTTGCCTACAGAGTGTGCAGCACGAGAACACCTACCGGGACCCCGTGGCCAAGTACTGCTACGGAGAGAGCCCGCCGGAGCTCTTCCCTGCGTGACGGCCGCTGCAGCCTGGGCCCTGAGACACTGCTGGAGGATGTGCCACCCAGGGCCAGACTTAAATGTCCCAGCCAGTCCAGGGCAAGGAGACAAGGTGGCATGGGGACACTTTGACTGTGACCACTTCCTGTGCTGTCCACGGGCACTGCCCACCATTGGGCTGCACCTGGCAGAGCTTTTCTATGAAGCAGACTGGAACCTCGGGCTGGGCCCAGGCAGGAAAGAACCGTGGGCTGAGCTGGGGGTGGTGTCGGCCTCCCTGGAGACTCATCTCAGCACCCACACAGGGGCCTGTGGCTTGTGTCCATCAGGCTCCGGGTGTTCACTTCCATTTTGATCTGGGCTCTTCTCTGTAAAATTATTTATTAGATTCCTTTGGAATACTGGGAAAACCATAGTGTTTTATGGAGAAAAATGCCTTATCATTCTAGTTGAATATATTCAAAGAAATTATTTTTGTTGTTGTCCTCGGGTCCTAGAGTTTCACGAGTTAAATTGTCCCTTCACTCAGATAAAATGGCTTGTCCCTTGGAATGTGGATCTTCCCACTAGGGAGTTATTTTTGGTTTTGACAATGTCTTCCAGAGTGGGTCTTGGATACAGTGGAGGAACCATATCCTGGCTTTTAAAATCATCTGAACACTCCAAACTGCTGCGTTGTAACCTCGGGCAGCGCTGCCAGCAGTGGCCCTGAGGGCCCTGGGCCCTGTTCTGGGTTTCCATGTGCCATCTGCCTTAGGACTGTTCCAGCCACGGTGGTGACGTGTCCAGAGGTGGTCCTTCTCCCTTCCTGCATCACTGTGGAAGGACTGGGATCTGCTCAGTGTGGCACAAGGGGGCCTCCTCCCCTCTCCTATCACAGAAGCCCTGTGCTGAGGCCATTCCTGGGCACACAGCTGTTTACTGCTTCAGCGTTTTTGTAGCAGGTATAAATGTTCAGTTTTCCTATGATTTTTGGAGAAGAAAACCCAACTTTCTAAGAGTGTTGTGAGAGTTTCTTTTTTTAATTTATTTTTTATTTGTTCTTTTTAGTTAAACATGACTGTAGAAAGCATTTGAGAGTTTCTTACATTTGTCCTCAGTGAGAGATGTGTTTGGTTCTCACAGTTGAGAGTGCCACACACACAGGTGCCTGGCGTGTCCTGGATCTGTGTGCTTAAAGTCAGTGTCTCTGACTCAAGGCCTGGAGTATTTGGTCTTATGGTAAAAGCATCACGCTCCTTAAACATCCTGCCTGAGAGTTCAGGAGGCCTGTTAGCACACACCTCTTCCCGGCTGCTTCACTCACCCCAGCTTGGGCAAGGTCTTTTTGCCTTTTTTTTTTTGGGGGGGGGCTGTTTGGGTTCATCTGGGAGCAGGTGCTAATGACCTGCTTCCAACAGTTTTTTTTCCCAGTGGAGTGTTTTTTTTGAGGGGGCCACGTTCTCCTTCTAGATGTTTCTGCAGCATGTAGTGGTCATTTCTTTTAGCCCCCCCACTGTATCTCTTACATTTACCTTCCCTAAGGGATCTTTGCTCCTCAGTGAGTTTTCCTGCAGGGTAAACTGCCAGCAGTTGTTTTTCAGTGTTAGATCCTAACAAATCGGTTCTGTTGGCGTTGGACTTTACCAATTCTCTGGGTTTCCCATGGTGCTGAAGCAAGCTCTGAGAGAACCGAGGCACACCTGAGCATCTTACCCTGCACCTTATGGCAGCTCCATGTGGAGTCTGAGGGCCAGTCTTCCCTTGGTTACCGCTGCTGGCAGCCTGTCCTTCATGCTCAGCGTGCTGTGGAGCAGTGGACAGCTGCATCAGAGGCCGGCCTGTGTCCACCTGCCGGTCCTCCCCAACTTTGCACTAAACAGCACCTCTTCGTGTTACTGCTGTCACACAGATGCTGCAGCCATCGATAGGACATGTGCTTCCGCCTTGTGGATGAGGAAATAAGGTGAAATGACCTCAAGTACCCACTGAGACTTCATGCTGACCCACACCGGAGCTCGTCTCTGGTTCTGGTCCTGTGTGCTTCCCAGCACCCCTGCCAGCTCCAGGGCTGACCAAGCTCGCCATCTGCCCCCAGAGCCTATGGCTTTCAGTTGTCCAGGCCAGAGGAGGAAGTGGTGGCTCCCATGTCCACATTAGGTTGATAGCTCAAAGGTCATTTTCATTTAGATGAGGAGTATGATTTTTTTGTGCTTAAAAATCAGTGGGGGGTATGCACTGTTTTGGAGATTGACAGCAGGCGCAGGGTGAGCTGCAGCAGAGACCTGGCATGGCCCAGGCTCCTGGCCCAGCCCGCACTGCTCCTCTGCTTTGCTCATGGTTTCTTGGATCAAGGCTTCTCACATAGGGACCTTGTCTTAGCTGCGTGTTCCAGAGCCTAGCAGAGCACATGATACGTGTTGGCAGTTTAGGAAAGAGAAAAAAACCTTTAGTTGAGAAAAATATTATCGAATATTGAGTGCTTTAGGCAAAGGTGATTGGGCAGTGCCAGGTATTTCCCTCAGTGCTAAGTCTTCTGTTTGCCATGCTTGTTGCTAGAGCTGTACAGATGTGTGAGAAGCTCGTGGTGGGGTAGAGAGGCTCTGAGACAGAAATTTCAGAGGAAGGCCTGGCCACCTCAGAGCTCCTGAGTTCTTGGAAAAGCAGAGGCTTTCGGAGCAGAGATTGCGCCCCTCCGCATCTTTCAAAGGCTGACTCGGGAGCTTCTTCCTGGAAGTGCCTCGGTTGGTGTCTGCTCCCAGGGAACTGTGGGGAACAGTGGCTCAGTTTGTGAGATGTCTGAGCAGATTTTCCCAGGGTTTGCAGACTCTTTGTCGTCTGGAAAGATCGGTGCCTCACAGTCAGTAACTACTGCTTATTAATGGTGCAGCCTTGGACAGTCGTCTGTCCTCTTCTGAGTCTCAGGCCGCCCTGTGTTACATGGAATGACGTCTGCTTCTCCCAGGCCAGCGGTGAGGTGTCTGAGCAGGGACCCACTGCTTGGCAAGAAGTCCAGGCCTGCAGCCCATCCAGGAGCAGCACAGGTGAAAGGCAGGGCTGGGGACAGACAGGCTCCTGGGGTTGGGAGGGCAGTGAGTACAGAGTGCTCATTATTTATTTATTTATTTTTTATGAGTAGAAACTCCTTCTACAGACACAAAGCTTCAGATAATGCAGACAAACCAAAGGCAGAAAGAAGAACCTGAAGTCCTATAACCTAGAGATAAGCACCAGCTGTTTTTCGCTTCCAGGACCTTTCTAGACAACATGGAGGGTGTTTTTGTGTTGCATATGTGCCTATGTGATTCTTCTCCGTGGCCACATGCCTTTTTCATAGATCTGAAGTACTATTCTTCGTTCCCTACTGATGAGCACATTAGCTAACATGTCCCAGGTCTGTTGTCGCTTTTGCTACTACAGATAGTGCATTGGTGATGACCCTTGTGCAGACATGGGTATCAAACCCTTGCCACAATTTACTTTACCCAGAGTGCCAGGGGTACTATTGCCATGCCTCTGACAACCCTGTATTACCATTTTTAAACTCTTTGCTAGTGAATCTCAGTGTTCTCATTTGTATTTTAAATTTTTTAATCATGATATTTGTCCTTCTATATTATATAAGGATCAAAACTCATATACTGAAAAATGAGTTGCAAATATTTACTTTTTGCTTCTGTCTTTGTTCATGAGTTAAAAACACACAAGTGCTATTTATTTGTATTTAATTTCTATGAGGTAAACTCCATCCCATGTTTGATTGGTCATTTATCGTTCACATGTGGTGAATTGTGTATTTCTGACAACTTTTCCCTCTTTTCTTCCTGATTACTACAGAACATTGCGGGTGGAGGGGCTTCAACCCCTTATCTTTTTCAGTCCCTGAATCTCAGAAGCAAGTGGCTCCCCATATTCACAAATCAATTTTCCAGTAAATCTAGGGCAGTGGTTTCTCAACCCAGCAATTTTTCTCCCAGGGGACATTTGGCAACGTCCAGAGACATTTCTGACACAACTGAAGAGGGGCAGTGCCACTGGCCTCTAGGGGGCGCAAGCCAGGCATGCTGCTCGCTTCCCATGCTGCCCAGGACTCCCATAGCACAGGGCGCTCTGGCTGCCACTGTCACCCCAGTGCCGTGGGCGAGAAGCCAGCCCCCCGGGTCGTGTCTACCCCTCAGGCTGCACAGAGGAGCTCCAGGACGTGCTGACTTCATTATTTCCTTGCCCTCGCGTTCTGCGGTGCTGAAGCGCTGCTGATTAAATTACCCTGCCATCCCCACGGGATGTGTTACTTTCTCACAGGTCTCTGGCAGCCCAGCGCTGCCGCAAGGCACCATGTTATTGCCCTGCCACCGTGTCCTTAATGCGCTTGGAGAGCCACCGAGTGCAGATACCGTCCTGTCTGCAGAATGAGCTGTGGTCTAGAAACGCCTATCCTCCCCTCTCCTCTGTGAAGGACTGGCTCCCCCAGCACGAAGGGAGTTCCAAATGGAGTGGCTTTGTGGGTAGTGATGGGGAAGAGGTATGGACCTATCATTATAGATTTTATTTAGAATTCTAGATTTTCTGCTAAAAAAGGTAAAAAGTACAATCAAATTTAAAAGGTAATTATATTCTGAGGGTTTTCTTTCTAACAAGATTTCCCTGCATCTCTGACATGTCAGGCTGTCACCTTCTTGGTGGGTTCTTCCCAGCTCTGCATGTTCGCAGTTTATCACTGTGTGGCTGCGGGTTTGCATCCCTGTACCTGTTTGCACTCCGGTGTGTCTGCAAATTTCTCATCCAGTCTGCTTTCACACATGAAGAAGAGCAAGTAGCCAATGGTGTCTGACCTGAGCCCAGGACCAGAGTGGCTGTGTTCAAGGGTCTCAGGAGAACCTCAGTGGTCATCATGTGTACAGCTCGCAAGCTTCTGATGTTAGAATTGAACTTCACATATATACAATGAAAGTACAGCTTTGAACACCATAAAGGAACTGAGTCCAGTTATGTCATTTGTTGGGCTTGCACTTTCTGAGGGATCAGATCATCACGCCTAGAAATGTGTTGTTTGTAAGTGGACAAACAGAAGGGCAAACAGTTCCTTCCATCTTGGAATTTTTTTTTATTCATAAATTCTAATGCAGTGTTGAAGGTAAGTTTCTGGCCACAACACATCCATGATTTGATTCCCAAATCAAAAGTAGTGGTGGCTGAGTGAGAAATCACTGTTGACAGTGATTCAAAATTCTAGACTATGTTGGTTAATGGCGGTATTGAGGATTGAACCCAAGCATGCGCTACCACTGAGCTACATCCCTAGATTTTTAATTTTTGAGTCAGGGTCTTGCTAATTTGCCAGAGCTGGCCTTGAACTTGAACTTGCTATCTTTCTGCCTCAGCCTCTTGAATCTCTGCAGTTACAGACTGCCGCAGTCTGGCTAGGCACAAAATCACGAGCCACTCAAGCAGAAACAAACTTTATTTTTTGAAACTGCCGCCAATGCCCCGTAAGCCCCTGGGGAAGAATGCCGGATCGACCCACGAGTGTTCTCCCGGATCCTAAGAGGAAGTTCCTCCTCTGGAAATCCCTCCTACCGCACTTCTCCAACCAATGGGAACTCTCTAGGAGTCCCTTAGCAGGCCAAGGTGGACAGCAGGAGTCCAATATCCATATGAATGTAAATCTTAACATAATCATATCATCTCAATGGCTAGCTGGCGTTACCTTTCAACCAAAAATGCCATGCATCATATTACTTGGCTGTGGCTCTTAACAACAGATGTGCACCTCCATACCCAATTTCATATCTCATATTACTAAGGTGGTGTGTTGTGTGTGTGATTTTTTGGGTTCTGTTCAGATGGGACATTTTCTTAAGCTGTATTAGGAGGTATCAAGACAGAAATGTTGAAGAAAATGCTTCTTATTATAGACATTTGATTGGATGCTGTTTTGGATGGTGAGTATGATATGCTTCTCTGGTACGACCCTCACACCCTGGCCGTGTGTGTATGCATACGTGAGAACACGTAGATA